CTGCATCTGCTGCCAGTGCTGTTTATTGCAATAGCAAAAAGCCTTCATACTGTGAAATGAAGACAATTCTGTAGCTGATTTACAGTCAAGAAAGCTCTTTTCCCACTAGGCTATTTCCATTAAGTTAATCTAACACACCACAAATTATTTATTGGTTTGAAAGCAGTTTCAATTGCTTTAACACTTTTATCATCCAGAGCAAACACACCAATTTAAATCAAGTATGTGTCAATTTATTGGCATCCTTGCAAAAGTTGTCCATGAATTTAACATCAATACAAAATGACACCTTACATCTGTCTGTGCTGGCAGGCAAAGTGTGAGCCAAACAAGAATAAAGGAAAGAACAGGTAAATTAAAAATCTTGTTTATTACATAGACACTCAACATCCTTACCAGCCCATCACCCACTCCTTACACTCTTTGGAGCTTCTCAGTCAAATTGTGTGGCTTAACAGATAGTTTAAATCTTTAGTAAACAGATACCACAAAGATCAGACACTGCTAAGTTCCACATTCAATTTTTCTGAGAGAAGAAACCAGAAGAATTGTTGGCCCGTAAGCTCCAAACAAACAACTGTACTGAACAATACTTTGTGGGACATAGTTCCCATTTTCTTTCCTGCTCTCACCACAACTGTTTCATCACACAAAATCTCAAGAATTGCTAAAAATATCCTTTGACTCTATCATGAGCTTTTCCATAGCCTAACTTAATGGCAGTAGGACTCTCCAGAAGTACTTTTTCCAGTTTGGATGTCCCAGATGTGAACTATCAGGAGATGGCACATCTTTGCCTTCTTCACAAAGACCTCAAGTGTGTCCAAACAGCACATGGGGTTGCCTAGCCAGCACCCCTAGCCATCATCCTATTTCTTTGCTCTTGTCCTAAGTGAACTTGCAGTGTTGTTAGACATATCCTTTCAGAAAGAGTACCAAAAAAAAGAGAACACTCCACATGCCTCAAAATCTCACGAAAATGCTGTTTTCCACTGTGCACAGTATAGCTGCATCGTTGCTGCCCTGTGCCACAACTTGGGAGGATAATGGTTCTACTGTCATTCCACCCCTGAAGCTCAGGTTGGTACTTATTTGAGTTCTCCACAGAGGTCTTGAGCAGAAAATAACACCCATTTCTTTCAAGGCTCTCAGGGCTGTGGGGTTTTTTCCAGCCACATCAAATCCCTATAGAAATTATGAACTTGCAAAAGTCAAACATTTTGACTGTTTAATAGCCCTTGGGTTACACACATAAGGAAAAAAATAAGAGGATTTCTTAGAAAGATGGTATTGTAGGTAACTTTATTTCTCTTCATTCTAAGAAGGAATTTAAACCTAACTATTGTCCTCAGTCTCAAGATGGCAGGCTGCTTTCACACAATGCAGTAAGTTTACAAGAAATACTCTAACATGAAACTAAACCTTGCTATTATAGCTGTTTCTGAGCACCACCAATTGAAATTCACCAATTTATTTCTGTTTTGACAAAAAGAGAGAGAATTGCTTTGAAATGTACAGGGCTGGTTAATTTTTAACTAGAAGCAGAGTTGCAGTAGACAGTCTTATATAGTAAGTCAGGTGTGTCTATATTCCAGGAGAGGTTTTGTAACCTTTATTTCTTGTTACGCTGCCAAATCTTACCCTAACACTAAAGGATAACAAGTTCCCAGAAACAATCTGTTTGCTAAAAAGTTACCTTGGCTTGCCTTATTTGAGAAACATGAAGGACTGAGAAAATTTACAGCTGGGACAAACCCCAAAGCCTGTTTTACCAACAACTACATTATAAACAACTAAAATAAAAATTCTTAGTTAAAGCAGCAAGAGGCAAGGGTGGAACTTATGCTGGGGTATCGATGAAATACATTCATGTTCTGCTAAGTACCGACTTTGTGTGTCATGCTGATCTGTGTATTTCAGGCATCTATAGTATGAGTGATTTTAAAGCTTCTCTGTGTGCTTTAAAATAAATATATATAATTTAATTTAAAATTAAACAGTAACAAATCAGTTCACATACCATACCTAAAGACAGTGAAACCTATTTAACTTTCCCTGGAGAAAGAAGACTCAGTGCTTTGAAAGTATGAACTTAAACTTCACAGTCAACCTGAACTTTCATTATTTCCTCACTATTTCAAGAGGATTTATGACCATAATTTGTGACAGACCCTCACATCATGCTAGTAATAGTTACTAAGAAAATAGTGACCAGCCCCCTAAATCAATGACAGACTGACTGAAATGGCACTGAAATGCACTTGAGGACTCCTACACAGCACATTTCCCCATCATAAAATTAGTAAGTGATTTTTCCTGCTACCTTCTACATTTAACCACAGCAACAGGTTTCACTAGCTATAGGTCATCTCATGTAAACAGTATGGATTGAAAGTCATTTTAGGGTTGGTTGTGCTCAAATGCATTTTTTATTTCACGCTGCATCCCTAGTTTCAAATATTTGCAACCATCCCACTTCCCTGTGTCACACTTCTCTCTTCACCTCTCTGTATCCTGTGTTTGCAGGTATCAGGCAAATAGTTGTTACATTAAAGAAAACTAAGATACAATCTCACTATTTTGGGAAACATTCAAGTGCATGACAAGACACAGTTAAGCAAGCATTTGTGAGTTTAAGTAAAAATAATTTTGGCTTGAGATAGCTCTTAAGCAAGAATTATCTCAACTTACTTGAGCATTTTAAGACTCCCACATGAAATAGCCACTGTGCAATAGTAAGAATCCATAACTTACGGTATTTTCACAAAAATGAAAGAGCATTAAATACTTTGCATGAGCAAGAAATTCCTCCCTTCAAGGAAGGACCAAAGCAAGGATCATTTTGTCTTTTCATAGTGAAATGAGTCAAGTACAAGCCATATCCAAAACAGTTTTATCATTATTTCAAGCCACATAAATAAAACCACTCCTGACACCACCACATACAGAGCAAGAACTTAGAGCTCTGCAGCAAAATTATTTCACAGCCAAAGTATTCAAGATCTATTACAACATGCCAAACTTCAGTGAAGCTGCAGCGCTGCAGAAGCTCCCAGCAGATCCCCAATCGTGCACAGATGCATTTACATATTTGTAAGATAAGCACATCAAAATACTTTTAATAGCTAAAAGTCAGGCATCTCCTTACAGAGGGATTCTCAGAACGGGAATTAAATCTATGCAGAGCCTCTCATAGTGCATCCATGCTCCTTCTCAAAGGACAGATGCACTGTCCTTAAAAGTACTGTCCACATCAACACAACAAAACCTTCCTAATAAATAGGCAGAAGAAAGGCAATGTCATTAAGATCTGTAACTAAGACTCCTTAACTAATTATTAAAAATGGTACATTTGTAGCCCAGTTCTTCCATGCATGTTAAGGAAGGTGACTGCTCATATCAAACATACACAATATTAAATTAATCACTGTCTCTCAAACGAGGTGAAAGAAAACCAAACTCCAAGTTAGAACTTACTCCTTAGTTTTATCATGAACTATTATTTTCCTAATTCCAAATGCAAAGTTATCCCTTTTTTAAAAAGGGATTTTTCTATTAGAACCTTTCAAGTAAATGTAAGGAAATCTTTTAAGGAGTCTTCATACAAGAGCCCTAGAAGTCAATTTCCACCCTCCACCCCTCACAAAAGCTACATTAGCTTCATTCAGTGAAGCAGGAATGTGACCATCTCCACACAAACATAAGTGTTCAGAAAGGAACAAACCACATTTCAGGTTTTCAGAAACATTTTTAAAAGACGGTGGCAGCGTGTATGGAGGAGGTGGACCCTGCGATATGAAGGGATATGAAGGGTATCTTTTTGATATAATCCAGACAGAATAAGCAATACATAATACACACCCACACAGAGCTCCAACTAAAAATATAGAATGATGATGCCAGCAGAATATGGTCTGTTCTCTTGCTCCAAATGACAGTTCTAATAATTACAGGAGGTTTGAAAAGGTGGGTGGCCTAATAAAAAGAGGCCCTGAGGTGATGTTCTGACAGCCTTGGCCACACTGCCGAGTTTTCCAAACTACCTAGGAAATCGCAACAACCAGGCTTCGGCTTGCTCAAGCACCGGGGTGATGCATCCAGGCAGACCACATGCAGCAGCAAAAAAACAGAAGCCTTGCACATGCAGCCCGAACTCCTCGTCCCGGGCGAGACAAAGTCGGGAGCGAAGCCGCACGCAGGAGGAACGGAGGAACGGACACCGTCCCGCTCCCCACGGATGCTGCAGGCACAGCACCGCCTCCGTTTATTTGTGATTTAAAACGATTAGCACACTCACTTAAAAACGGGACGGCCAAGGGAAAGCGGAGGGCAGGCTCCGTGCCCGGGACGGGGCACCCGGACTGCAGCTCCGGCACGGCCCGCGGTACCGGGCCGGGCCGGGCCGGACCCCCGCGCGCCGCGTCCCGCCGGTGCCTCCGCCGCAGCCTCACACCGGACCGGGGCGAGGGGGGAACACGGGGCACGCACACCAAACTCGCCTTCCCCCCACCCCCTCCCCGGCCCGGCCAAGAGTTTGAGCGACACCCGACACCGACCCCTCCGAACTCCACAGAAATCCCTGCCCGGGACCGCGGAAGGACAGGAGTCGGGGGGGCGAGGGGGGTGGGCGACTTTTGTCTCTCTTTTTGCAACTGTGCGCGTTTACCTGAGCCACCCCTGAGGGAAAACCGCCTCGCCCCCAAGCGGGATACGTCCCGAGGGAACAGGGAGGAGAGGCCTCCTTTTCCTGCGCACCCTTTTTGCAGGAAAGAGTGGCAAGAAGCAATAGTTTTGGGGGGGAACCGGCGCAGGCAGCCTCCCGGCCCGTCTCGCCCATGTGCGCGTCCTGCGCCTCCGCGGGAGCCTGGCCCCGCTCCCGCCCCTCCCCGCCGCACTCCCGGCGGAGCGCGGGGGAAAGTTTGCCCAAGTCCGACAACAAAAGGGACAGCGGCGCTCGCCTCCCGGCCCTCCCGGGCCCCGCGACGCCCCGACGAGCTTACCCCCGGCCGAGCCCGGCTCGCAGCGCAGCACCGAGGCGGCGAGGAGCCGCAGCAGCAGCAGCAGCGGGAGCGGCGCGGCCGCCGCCGCCTCCATGTTGTGCCGCCGCAGCAGCTGCCGAGCGCACGGAGCGTCTCAGGCAGGCTCCATGCTCGGGGCGCTGCGCTCGGCGAGGAGGGAGGCGGGGAAGGGGGGAGGCGCTGCAGCCGACCCTCCTCCTCCTCCTCACGCCGCCAGGGAGGGGGCTGGGATGGAGGATCCCGGCTCGCACCGCATCCCGGGAGCGGGTGGGGGCGCACCGTCCCGCCGCGGCGCGTCCCACGAGTGGGAACACCTGGCCGCGCGGGGAGGAGGTGGGGCTCCGGGGCCTTATCTTGTTAACTCGTTCCTGCTGGAGCAATTACTCCAGAACCAGCCGGGAAGGCTGGAGAAGATGGCTCGCTGCGTGTGCAAAAAGCAACCTTGCGCTGGTGGATTTGGAAGTTAACAGCGGGGACGCCCGCCCCTTTTTCTGTCTCCAGGAAAAAGAGTGGCTGTTTTCTTCCCGAATGGAGGTTCGTTCTTGTCTTTCTCCTCCCACCAAAACAAACATTTTATTAAGTCACTCTTCCACAAAACACTAGTTTTCAAAGAAAAATGCATTCAACAACAGTCTTTTGTTGCCTTTCCCCCCCTCTCTGTTAAGCATGCCACCTGCTCCTATAAACACATTAGCACCAGGAAAGAGGCAGAAACTGCACTTGGACGTGGGGCTTGGTTTGTGCCGGGGCAGGTACAGGGGGCTGAGAAGCACCCGGCTCACACTGAGACATCCCGCGCCTTTCACAGACCAGATACTGCCCCCGTCTCTCCCACAGGGATGAAACCAAACGGCATAAGCCAAGAATTTTCATTTAAGTGTCCATTTTTGGGCATCAGCGTCCTTGTGCTGACACTGATTTGACAATAAGAAAAAGGATTGCTAGACGGCCTTGTATAGAGGTGGAAATCACAAGGGTCTACCCAGCATCCACTTTAAATGTTTTTTGCAAGTCTCAGAGCAAGAGCCATAAATCACAAGCAAGCACTTAGCAAATGGATGTCACATTTTAATAGTTTCATTACATTTCAGAGATTAGTGATATCCAGGTTGCCCTGTTGTCACGTACTAATTTATCTGCTTTGCTGTAGGTGCTAGAGCAGCAGCTGAGATTTCTTCTTGGTGCCCCATGGACCCCTGCCCAACTCAAATACCAGGATCAAATATTCAAGAATTAGTTTAATTCCTGTTGGTTACTCCATTGCAGACCTCCCCTGTGAGGGAAAAGGCAGAGTGTTTTGATTTGGTTTGTTTCTAAAGTCAGCAATATTCAACTTAGCTCAGAAAGCAGTTTAAAAATTCAAGAGGTTACAAAGGACTTATAGTGCTGACATTAAAGATCACCTGTAAAGGGGGAAGAAAAGTTTTCTTCTCTCTCTTGTTTCTGGTTTAACATACAGATAACATGTATTTTAAAGAGGGCTCATTTAAGTGGCGTTTAAAACCTAGAAAAATCTCAGCTTCCTTGAAGGCAGAAAAAGCAGAAGTTGGCCTTTGGTGATAGATCTGTAATAAACTGGAACCCAAATCTAGGCTGCTGTAAATCATTAATGGAAAAACTTTGTGTGAACACCAACTGAATGAGGGTTTTGTTTTGCATCTGCTTAAAGAAATTGCCCAAGACCAGAGAAATAACTGGAAGAAAGATTTCTTTGTTGAAGGCAGTGATTGGACTTTACTTTTGATGGCTCTAACCTCCTGCATTGTGGAAATTACCCAGCAGTCCTGGCATCACAGTAAGTGGGGTTAATCGAAGTTAGAGGCAAAGAAAGGCCACATGAAGCAGTTGTACTTGCACCAGGCAGTGGGGAACAGTGGGGTTCCCATCCCAAACCCTAACAGCTTGGGGGCCATATACAAAACTGGTTTGTGTGCCTGGAGGGAGAGCCCAGCTGTCCTGTGATGGCCTCAACAGCACCAGAGCAACAGAGTTCCCTGGCCCTAACAGGATCAGAGGTCAGCTGCTGAGATGACCTATCCATCACTCCAATGCCAGTGCCAAGCCATGTGGAGGGGGTGAGCTGAATCTGCCCACAGGCTCCTGGAGGGCGGCAGCAAGTTCTCTTTCAGCTGCTTCCAGCACTCGGTAACTTGGGTCCTAAGGTCCCATACTAGGATGCAATAGCCTGCTGTTATCCCTGCTCCATCCAAGAGATGATTATCCCCCTACCTGACCCTGTCAAACTGCATGGTCAAGTTAGGAATGGCAGCAGTTTATACCAAAAGGGAGAGATAGCAGCATGTGAGCAATTAGCAGATTGAGTAATAGACTGACTCACAGTCTAAAACAAAATGAGAAGAGAGATCAGGCCATGGAGGCAGGCAACTAGGGAAGAGAATCTTAGCAGAACACATCTTTGGGGCTTTGACCATAACACCTCTGCTAAAAAACATTAAAGACATTCATTTAAAGTGATGGCAAATGCAGTAGCAGCCAGGAACACAGTCTTTCTCCAATCCAGAAGATGCCATCTTAAGTTTAGATAATATATTGCAAGAGGAATTTGGAGGCAGTTAAAGTTGTGCAAATCTGAAGTCATGAGCTGAGCAAGATGCCTTCCATCTCTCTTCCAGCCCTGCACAAATCCCTCCAGCAAAACTGGGGGAGGCAAAGCTGTGACATTCCCAAAATGTCCAATGTACATATTTTTGCAAGAAATTAAAAACCAGTGTAAAAATAAACAAAAAACACATATCAGGTTAGTGTAAGCATAATTCTATCCCTTATTTTAATTGAAGAAAGAGGGATCTCTTTTAATACTGCTGCATCTCACAGTGTCCAAGAATGCAAAAACAAAAAAGCCAATGCCCCATTTAATCTAATATTTCTTGTGTGATTCTGGGCAAGTCACAGTCTAACATTTTGTCAGTTTCTCTTCCTACAACATTTTGTCAATTTCTCTTCCTACAACAAGGAGCAGAGGGAATAGTTTTCCTAACTTTCATAATTTCTGTTTACAGTTTGACAGAAACTGCAGCAAGTTTGGAGCCCGATTGTAGGAAGCAGGAAAGGGAGGAAATCCAGAGTGGGAGCCCAGCCCTCCCCTGCCAAGGTGTAAAAGCAGGTCAGTTCCTGCATTCTTCCATTGCCATTCCTGGTGGGGAAAGGAAGGACACATAGAGATAAAGGAGGGAAAACAAAGAGCTGTGTCTGAGCACCACAGCTGGGAAACTTGGTTTGACTGAAATGCTCCAGATGTTTCTGCATGTTTACTCCTCCTGGATTTCTCCTTCCTACCCCAGTTTACAGTATCCTTCTCTCCCAGCTGCCAGAGCTGTCTGAGCTCCTGTGGAGCTAACATTTAATGACAACTGCAGAAGGCCCTAAAGTGTTTTGCAACTGACACCCAGGTTTATTTCATGGTGAATATCAGTACCAAGACACACATCTTTATTCCTCTGGGACAGTGCAGTTTAGTGAAGATGAAGTCACTAGATCTGGATAGACTTTGGTGCTTTGCAAAGGAAAGGTAAAGTGATCAGTGAAAAATAACAACACCATCAAAGCATTTTACTCCTTTACTTCTAAGGCCATATGACAAAATAATTTTCCTCTATCTGCATCTCAAATACACTTCTTCACCCTTTCACTCCCAGCTTCCAGCTAGAAAGCAGTCTCCACCTAATTATGTGCAGGGACCTCTATTCTCTAGCACCCTGTATCAGAAAAGAAAATGTTTACAGGTAATCTAGAACAAGTCAAAAAGTATTATCTGGATACAAGTTGCCTCATCTTCTCAAAGAAATAGACACACTGAGAAAAACATATCTATGCATTCAGTTGTAGTTAAGATTACCCCTCCTGAGCAGAAATCTGAAGTAGTCTTGGTAAGGGGTGAGTTTGGTTCTGAGGCTGCATGGGGCATTTAGGTGTTGCTTTGGAAAGGTGGGTTTTTAGGTGCTAAATAATACTTTACATGTAAACCTAAATCACTGCATTGCCACTCCTTAATTTGACTGAAAGGGCAGGAAAGTGTCAGCATTACCACCTTCTTACCCATAAAGAAAATGACAGTAAGAAAAATAATAACTTCGTTTGTATCATGCAGTTTCCCTGGCATTGTGTAAGGACAATAGCCCAATTTTTTCAAACTAATTATTCCCTATTTCAGCAACCCAGCTTTGTGTGACAGTTTTTTTCCCCCTCCCCAGATGAACTCTGACATGAACTAACAGTTAAACCACCACAGTGTGCCATGCAGACAGATTAAAATCAATGCTCTTTCAGCCTGTGGGTTGTAGGGCCCTTTTAAAGCAGTCCTAAAAGAAACTATGAAAAGGAAGTCAAACTTTATAGCATTTAAAATCTTTATACAGGAATTTATGCTTGTTGGGAAATCTTTAGGGTTGAAAAAGCTTGAAAATCTTAGGACCCGCAGTGAAAGGTTAAATATTGAAGAAAATGACACTTTTCAGGCAGCCATGTGGCAGAGCACAGGTGTATTATAGGTATAACTGGAGAGCATTAGGCACATGATTATCTTACCTTATAGCAGTGCAAGCTGGAAACTTTCTGGCACAGAGAGGGCTCCAGTGCCACACCTGAATTGCAACCCCAGCGTTTCCAGTGTGGTGACCCCAGTGAGGTCGGTTATGGAGTCACAAACAGGACTGGCAGATCAACAAAAAAAAAAAAAAAAAAAGGGGGGGGGCGTTTCTCAAATAGTTATGGCATTTTTTTAAGGGAAAACAGTGCTGCAAGCAACCTAGGTGGGACCACAGAAAAAACAAGGCAGAGAATGGCACTCTCTTAGCATTTGCCACTGCTTGAGATTTTGTGCAATACCCAGGGTCCATCTGCCAGCAGTTTCTGCTCCAAGAGGGATAAATGGGACACACATGCCAGTAACTCAAATACAGGGAAATCAGGAGACACTGCAAGCCAAGGGAACAGAGGCTTCAGGACAGAAGCTTCCTGGCAGATATGAGAGATGCAGAGAGAGATGGCTCACATAGGTTTGCAAGAGGAAAACTAATATTAAAAAAAAGTCTGACAGAAGCCCCACTGCTATCTAACTTAAAGAACATGTAAGTGAGACAGGGAGTGTAAAGAGCCAGTTCCCAAAACCTCATGCTGGTTAGCAACATCAGGAACAGAGGGGCTGACACTGCCTGAGAAACATGTCACCATAAAAAGTTCTGAAAACACAAAAATAGTTCAGTGGGTTTTTTCAGTGGTGAT